CACCTAATTAGCCAGACATTCCAGAAGTACATCACAAACACTCTAGTTAATTCATTTGTTTCCAAGAATAAGTGGGATAGCCCCAAACTACAATCCAGTCCTTGAAACACTTCTGGAAAACACCTAGTAAACTTTTTACGTGTTCTACAAATTCATATATTGCTTGCTTTTCCTTCCTTCAGTGGTGGTTTCACATGATTGCTAGGCCATAAATGTTTGCAAAATCAACATTGTAGGGCAAGAGGCGAAAAAATCGGCAGTTGTTTCAGCAACTATGACTGGGATGGTAGCAATGGAGTTAGAGGAACTTGTCTCTCTGTATTAGTAGGTTTGTTTTGGAGGGCATGAGCTGGTGTATATTCTGTTTTCTACTGTTATTTGGTTTGAATTAAAAAGAAAAATTAAGTTTACTCTGTTGCATTTGCATATGAATTGCTTGTGCCAAGAAAGATAACAAAAAAGGGTTCGATGAACACAAACTGTCTAGTAGATAAAAGGCCATAAAATATGCATCTTTAAAACAACACCTTGCAAAAGAATACCCTTGGTGTTTTTCATGGTCTGCCAGTGACACGTGCAATTTCCTATTGGGAGTTTCAGTGTTATTATTGAAATTTTATCATTGTTATTTAGTTTGCACCAGGGCAAAAGCTTATAAATAGACTTTGAACTTTGGGCCCTTTCCCAGGATTTCACGCAGATAAGAAGTAAATGCTCATCACAATATAATAAGGCTTGTGGCATGTCAAGCAGAATGTATGATAATGGTGCCAAATATCATTAGAACCCCCAAGCTAGCAGCTGCAAATAAGCTGTTAGGAATGGCTCAAATATCAACTTTAAATCTGCAGAGCCTGATATTGTTGTTAAGTAAAGTTCACTGATTTTTATTAATTTTGCTGTTCCATTTGACTGAGCAGGTCTGGTAGATTAAGTTTGATTTAAGCTCAAATTGTGGCATATCCTAAAAGCTGGACTGGACCCTGGACTCAGGACTTACCCTGAAAAAAAAAAAATATCACTCCGGAATCACCTTCCCCCCCACCCCCCCCTTAAGACCACTTTTAACTTTTGTAGAAAAAGAGAGAGCAATAATGTTTTTTTTATGGTTGAACATGTATAAGGAACATAGACAAACCTAAAAAGCATTTCACCTCCCTGGCTTATGAACTCAATTTTTACCCTGTTTATTTACTCGCTGTCTGTGCACTATGATTAATGGCTCATAAGGGATCACACATGTCACTGAATAGTTTTTCTTATCTGATTTCCATGCCGAGGAAATTAGTAATGCTTTTAAAAAAACATAGTTCATTAACTAGGGACAGCATACGTTCTCCAAAACAACACTGCATAGTGGCGCTAACACATTCAAATGCTGTATGATTTCTCAATGCCCAGTTCAGCGAGACATGCGCTTGTTCAGTTTATTATCTGAGACTCACAGGGTTATTTTTGAAGCTAGGGAACATTGTTTTTTTCTGGTGTATACTTTTTTTTAACTTGTCTTAGTCTCTGATCCACGTATGAACACTACATAATTTCTCGTTTCTTTTCCTTTACTAAAAGATTCGGGAACTGTATATTTGTGGTTGGGGGGGAATCCTTTTTAGATTTGTCTATGTCCCTCATCCGTGTTCAGCCATAAGAACATTATTTCTCCTTCTATTTCTACAAAATTTTAAATGGTGGTGGGGAGGGTGATTCCGGAAGAATTTTTTTTAGGGTATTTCTTTTTTTTTGGGGGGGGGGGG